ATCATATAAGCATAACGGGACCAAAATCTATTTTTCAGACTAATCATGCAATTATTGCAGAAACTTCTTATCCTCCAATCACCATGGCCATGTTTGGCAGCAGTAAATTTGAAACGATATTACTGATTGAAAAATTCTGCATCAGCCAGCTCTTCTTTCACCAACGAATTCAACATTTTTACCGACCATTTTTGCACGAGAGAAACCTGAAATTCACTGTAATGGGCTCCAGGCCATGACTTCGCGCTTCATAGCTAACACTAGCACTCCTGGTCAAATTACGGGGCTGCGCGAAACAACTTGTCAACACTCTTCTTTACAACGAGCACAGTTTGATAGCGGTTCAGCTCAAACTTTCTCCCGAGAAACTTAATTCCCATACGATTTCCAGCTTATGGAATATCGTTTAGATGAGATTTTGCTTTCGTCATTACTTTTTTGGTTAGCGCTCATAAGCTCATCAAAATCTTTTCATCTATTGCTCAACGAACAATATCGCAAACACACCACAAATGTAACTGTTGCCAAGATGAAGACGAATTTGCAAAAGTATAGCCATGAATGCAGCGAGGGGAACTCGATCGGCGGGGCTCCCGTGAGGGTAGCTTTTTCCGTGACATAGGCAAATCCATGCCTGTAGAAGGTGTTACACCCCGAAATATCGCGGAAGTTTCCAAAGGAATTCTTTCGACTTTTTTGGCTCGTTTTTTGGAGTATTTGGACTTTTGTGAACTTTTGGAATTCTTTTTGGAATAACACTTTTACAGCATCAGGTCTGAGACTCAACACAATACTTAAACAAATTAACCGTTGGGACAGTAGCGCAAGGAATGAAATATCGAAGAAAGTGATAAGAAGTTCATCGACATTGAGTTGTGAGATGGGAACTCATGACCGAAATGACCTTAACGTTCTCTCAAATATTTAAAAGATTGGCTGCCTTCAGATTTTTAAAATCTATTAGCACCATGCGAGTCCCCCATTCTGTAAACAGATAGCCCTGTGGAATAAACCAAAACATATGGCTTTGATGGCAGAGGGAGTGCTTTCTCGTGTCACTCATTCAAATTGAGCTATATATCTCGTAGCTCAACCTCATTTTGAAACCTCAACATTTCACGAAAGGGTACTTGAGCTGCAATATCGCGCCTCTCTTGAAGAGCAATTCTTCTGTTCTGAAGAGATGGCATTTCGAGTGAAAAACAGCGCAGGAACAACAAGATTTTAGCGAAAAACAAAAAGGGCACCACGAATTGAGTGGGTGCTCGCTGTGCTTTCTCCACTCGCAACTTCTTTCTAAGACTTTGCTATCGCTGCTTGAATCATAAAGAACTCAGAACTAAATTTAAGACCTTCTCCATGTTGGACTTGTTATGCTTCATTGGAATAGATTTACATTCAAGTCTTTTGGAGAATTGCTACAATTAAGGTCGGCTGAGTGCATATAGGAAAATCTTCTGAAGCTTTGTCCTTTAGCAGCACCGCTAGCTACTGCTTTATCATTGTTCATGAGGGGAAGAGGCACTTGATTTGGCCAATGCTTCCTTCCAGTGACGAACTCTGACGAATAAGAGACGGAAACGACATCGCAGTATGCTGTTGGACACGTATTACGATGGAAATTTTCTCACCGTCGATATGATCATTTCCATATTCACACACGCAATGGCGTTTTGAGAGGGTGCGTAGCAGAAATGGCACTACGACGTTATGTGATGAGGTTGATAGGTACCTCCGTCTAATTCACTGAACGAAACGGCGCACACTTTCTGAAACTACAAAATGACCAAAAGCGAGTTGTTCTATCGAAAACAATAAGCAAATATGGTTCTATACAAGTGGGGTGGGCACGCCCAGCTTTTCACGCATGTCAAGTGACTGCCCTCACCCCCACCCCCTAGATTGGCTACACTCCCCTGGCTCACGAATTCCCCGATTCTCGTGACAGTATAGTAGCGGGCAGCAGTCCCACTTACATACATTTCTGTTCAAAAAACGTGCGCCCACCCTACTTGTATAACACCGTAAATATCTTTACAGGGGACATTGACTGATTTCCAAAAAGGAGCAAAAATTGGCTTTTAGTGTGGTTGAAGATAACCGAGCATGTTTACTGTCAAGCTCACTTTAACATTTTTATAGTTTGTGATGAACGGTAGCCGGTTTACGGACTACTTGCACTTTCGTCCATGGTCCTGCCACGAATGGCGGAGAGCACAGACGATCAGAGAATGGCGCCTGGCTCGGCTCCAAATCCCAAGGAGGGAGGTGAGAGCCTTAGGACTAAGCCTTGTAAGGGGGAGGGAATCCGAGGTGGGTGAGCCAGTTGCATTGTGGCAAAAGTTTGAATGTGTGAGATCGCAGTGGTGATCAGAGCCGCTGATAAGGTGAGAGAGCGCAGACGAAAGCGTCGAGTGAGGCAGCTTAAAGGGCCGAGTTCAAGTAGTCCGTCGACCACGGAGCCATGAGCTCACTAGACTTCATTCAAATGAACGTGGACGGATTTATTCAACATCTGCCATTGATATGAATCTTCCTAGAATATATGCTGTCAGAGTGAAAAAGAGTGAAAAAGGCTGTTTCCACAGACAAGTAGATTCTTCTTCAAGATGCGCAGATTTTGAAGTCTCCACCTGAGAATCAAAAACAGGGAATGAAATGCTCAGAAGGAGTAGAAAGGTAGACACCTGATTCAATTTTACTTTGATGACGGAGCTACGATGCTAAATAATCTATGCTTATGGATTGCATCAGTAATTGCAAATTTTCAACTGATTATCAATTTTGTTACAAACTATTTTTTATCATTTTGAATTATTAAGAATACAGATTGTTGGTCTATGTCTTGACGCAACGATTTCTACACATTTCCGTACACACATACAGCTCTTTTGCGGTGAACCCGTTAACACCAAAACCGATCCTTCAACTTCCACCATCACGACTCACTATAAATATATCAGTATTCCCTTGAAAGTTCCCAACGAGGGGGTCGTAAATGAGAAAGGATCACAAATATGATCCCTTCGTTGCGGAGTTTCCAACGGAATGCTGAATACTATCCCCGTTTCCCTAAGCGCTCCTCTAACCCCACTTCAAAAAAACTGAAAAGAACTCCAGAGATGAAATCAACCCCTGCCACTTTTAGGATGGAGGCTCGAGGGTGGTTCTAGGCTTTGACAAGAAACCTCACCCTCCCCTCCTGGCAACTTGCCGCTCAACACGGAAACATTCTAGGAGGGATGTACATTAAATTCGAATATCCTTTGATGCTTTACGCCCTCAAAATGCATTATACGAAGGTAAGGAGGGATGTAATTAAATTCGAATAATTTATGCTTTACGCTAAAAAGTTATAAAGGATAAAGGATAAAGCATTTGCCGTTGATCAATCCCTTTTGGGATGCGGCACGCATTCTACTTCCATTTGTACATTCGTAGTGGCGTTTGAATGCGATGTGGCCTATACAATGACTGCGGGGGCCAGCCGATGTACAAGTCAGTGTTTTTATCCTCCCAGACAAGTCTGGTACCAATTAACCGACCCCGGAGGGATGGAAGGCTTGGTTGGCCCGGGCGACTCACGACCCAGGATTTGATCCCCGGACCGCTCGCGTGGTAAGCGTGCCACTTGCCACTACACCACTTCCGCCCTTGTTTATACTGTGATATCTATCCTTCCCTTCATCAAAGTTTGGGACCGTGTTCCCGAAAACAACTGAAGGAACAGACCCCTGGCGCAACAATTCTAACACCCTACATCCTCTTCAAAATTGACCCAAAGCCCTCTTGGACGAGAATTTCGCGAACTTTGTTTCAAATGCTGGGGACGAAAACTCAAAGCGTTAAGCTTGGTGACGCCTCCCGTCCCCACTTTGGTGCCCATATTTGGCTTTGTGCCCATCTTCTTAATGTTTTGAACACTCTAACTCAAGGAAACATTTAATGACTAGTCGAGAAGTCTTATAAATACACACAAAATCCTAAACTTCAAACGAATGTGCTTGTCGATAAACGATGAAGAACACAACATGACGCAATGCGACAATGGATATCAAATGCCCTTGATGAGACGAACGAAGAGAGATGCATATGTACAAAACAAATACCATTTCTAAACTGGCGAACTCAGTAATTTAAGGTAATTACAACCCGATTCAATACAATCAATCGTTACTTGATAACTGGCTATTTTTGAACTCAACAATGAATACTGAAAAGAGACGGCTTTGCTTAGCACACAGTGAAGGAGGCTCACCACAACGACCGACTAGTAAACACAATTACGGCCAGAATGCAGTTACTTGAGACCCCTTCCATAGACATTAAGTGCTATGATGTCACGAAATCTCGTACTTCACTGCCACAGCGACAACAGAGATAAATTGATCTCGATGACGCTCAAAAGCTCGAAATCCTTATTTTGCACTTTGGAAACGAAGCCAAAACAGTGCTAACGTTCCCTTCAACTACCATCAAAAGCCAAGGATACGGGAAATTTTACAAATTTTGAAAACGATCCCTTTAAAAAGCTTTTGTGCGTATCGCCAAATGGGCGATGAGGATCAAAAAAAAATGATAAACTCCATCTGGCGTGTCAGCGTACTATTATGGTGCGAGTGAAAAGCACCGGAAAAAATACAGACAGCCTGTCAAAACATATCACTGAATCGCGCTGAAGTATGTCACAGCTGAAAACAAGATCGCAGTTTTCGCGTTTGCACAACCGCGCCCCTCAACCACAGATGAATCATCGCGCAAAATGGCACTCGCAGGCTAGATAGCACATCAAATTGAATACACCCTTCACTATGCTTGCATGATTAAATTCTAAGTTCGATAAAACGGGGATTAAAAATTCTGTTGAAAAGTTATTAGCAGAAATGATTCCTAGTAACCACATTAGCAAGCAAATTTTACCTAGTAAAATGAGGAGAAAAAGCCCGTCAAACTCGCTATCACAATTATAGGCACAAACGAGGCCCGCTAATGATTAGCTAGTCTAAATATAAAACTACAGCTAATACGCATAGTGCGGCTAGTGGAGATATGCTTGATGAGCCCTTCATTTTGTCGCCGTATTTGTCGAGTAAGTCCAGAATCACGCCATTTGTCCAGCCAAATCCAGTCTAAAAAGCTTTGCTTAGATAATGCATGACAAACACGACCTAAAAATGCTTTAATATGAGATGAAATAAACACTAAAAGGAGGATTGTAGTTCTACATGTCACATATGAGGTGGTGAACAATTGCGTAAAAAATGACACCTTGTTTACATGAACATATTTTTTTAACAAATTCGTTACTGGAAACAAAAAACGATCGCAAATAACAGCTTCAGCGAGTAGTATTCTGGGAGGCCAATCCAATGTCCGACCTCTTGAGAAACTCTAAGAAAAAGGATGACGAAAAGTCGAGACACCGCTGATGAATCACATACAAATAAACCCCAAAACGATCGTTTCGCGCCGAAAAATGACCAAAGAGGCCGTTCACTCATTCTTCGCTTCTCCACAAATTCCCATGCAGAAATCTCAGGCAGAATATGATCTGGACTTTTGGAAGGTCACGGTTCCATCCTGAGAAAACCGACATACCCACACTTTGCCACCATAATCCATTCCACTTCGTGAACAGGAGACTTTCCTTAGTGGAAAATCATTTCCGCCTATATTCGACTACACCTTACTTCAAAGGAGGATTCCACGATAAAACTGGAAATCGAAAAAGTGGATATACACCAAGTCGAAGGGCAGGCGCCCTCCCCTCCTCTCCCCAAGAGTGAAGGACGGTGCGCGTATGGTTGCGAAGAATATGCCCCCAGCGGCTGAGCAGGGCCATGCCCGCACCGCTCGCGCCATTGCCCGCCCACCCTCTCACTGTCTCTCTCTAGACGTTCAGCAGAGAGAGCGTTAGCGTCGAAGAGGGCAGTACTGATGAGGGTCGCATCAATGCGGAAATAAAGTGAGGGCTCTGAACCGTTGCTCATGTTTTTCCCTTCTTCCCTGCACAGCGTGATCACCTCTACCTTGATTCTAATTGGCTGCCTTTTATCGTAAACTCCGCCTTGAACGGTTCCGCTGTTTTTTTTCAATTTTTAATGTGATTTTCTTCGCATTGACAAGAAGGCATTTCTTCTTAAGGGCAACGCAAATAGTGTAGCCCTCTAAAACCTGCGTCCATGATAATTTGCCTCATGCAGGACTGAGAAAATGCGAACATCCAGCGCTTATTCTAAGTCAGAGTTCCCTTCAGGCTTTCATCCATGTGCGGCGCACTTAACCGTTTGGAGTGGAAATTTCAGTGGAGAGCGATTGTGGGGTTTTCACTTTTCAGCGCAAATGTAATGAACGCGCAGTCGCATTCCACCACCAAGGCACGAGACATATCGACAAAGTGAAGTTTAAAAACTCGTGAATGCACAGAAAAGTCGTACAGGAACATGCACATTTTCTGCACTCCAAATATATCCTACTATTTTATAAAGCGCTAACTTTGTGTGTCGGTTTGTGTATCTGTATGTGTGTGTGTGTGTGTGTGTGTGTGTATGTATGTGTGTCCGTCCGCAAAATGAAGTGAGTGAGAAGGAAGCTCATGGGATAAACAAACCGCTAACAAATCGGGTAGCTTACAGGATTTGAGATATCAATGTTTTGTAGCAGGATAGTTGTGATAACACTCTTAGGGCTATATAAACACCTGCTTAGCACACTTCCGTTCATTCCACATGGTGCTGCAGTGGCAGCTGGAGGGCAGTGGAGAGAGGAAGGGAGGATGAGGAAGGGAAGCGAAAAATCTACCGTCATATCATGATTGTGTCCCTTCTACTGTATGAAACACCATTGTGTTGCATACGCGTCACTTCCAGGTGTTGGTGTCACAGGAGAAGGGACCATAGCGGAGGATAGAAAGCTTGCGCAGGAAAGGAAGGTCCCGGCGGTTGACGGGGGACTAATCTGGTAATAATAAAAGAAGACTGTGTATGTCGCCGGTTATGTTTGCGCTTGGGATGAATCAATCAAATCCACAGAACTGGACAGAGTTTCCAATATGAATAGGATGTGTTAGATACTTTTCGCATGTATCTTCGCATACAGGGAGGTAAGGGATTGTGATTGCAATAGGATATCAAAAGTTAGGGTTTAAAAGGGCGAAATAGTGGCGCATGTCTGGAAAGAAAAGTCAACAAGTCCTGATACTTCACCTATTAACAACATCTCGGCTCACACGTCCGTTCCGACCACACTATCAATGACGAGGAATTATTGGAAATAAGCAAATGCCTGGTAAATAGCGCTCCAAGCCGTTAGGCAGATGCAGTAGCAACCCATTCAAAAGAGGTACCATGACTGTGGTGCTTTGGTTTTCAACGCACCTGAACTTCGTATTCTCCACCACCACCGGCGGACATTTCTTCCGTCAACGTTGTCACATTGTACTTCTCGAACATAGCGTGTGTCCGAATAAATGCTTGGTATGTAACAGAAAGCCAAGACGTAGCCATTTTTTCAGCAACCTAAAGTCGTAACGTTAGGAAAAGGATGTCCCTTCTATTCTTGTAACTCTACGTCCTACGCAGAAGCAATGCCAACTCAAATAAATTTGAACCCTCAACTCGCATTATGAGGCAAACCTTGGCCAAAATCTATCTCTACTTCATGACATAAGCTCTCCGTAGTAACGAAAAACCTTCAATAACCATATGAACCATTGGTGGCCATGCGTTTTCCTTATCCCATTGTTGCTCGCTTCCCATGGCCAAAGATGTGGGCAAGCCTTTCGTGAAATTCATGACTCCTGCTGACTGAAAACAAGGTACAAATTAGTGTGTAAACGATCAAGCGCGGTATCATAGTAGAAAACCGCACCATACCATACTTTCGCGAGACTGAGAAGGAGGATGCATGTATGGACATAAGATGTACACTTATACAGACGTGAAAATATGCATGCATATAACGGTATGCCTTCATTCTACGTCACGTTTTTTAGCAAATTAAAATGAGTGGGAAAAGTTACGATGAGCAAGCGAGCGACGTATGGTGGCTACAGAGCTGCCACGATGGCGAAGACTAGCAGAAGCAAAGTCAAAGCTCATTGCTTGTGAACAAAAGAGGCTTGACCGAAATTTCTAAAAACCCATTCCAGAAGAGCTGAGCGACTTGATCTAAATAACGCTTAGGGTGGTGGGAGATAACAATAGCACAACATAGAAGGGGTTTGCATTGCTCAAAAAAGGTACCGTTAGCTTCTAAACCACATATACAAGCATGTGAAATGACTACGGAACCTCCCATTCGATCAGAAAAACCTTTTCCTCCGATCACAATCCTCAAAATAAGAACAAACATACCTTCAAGTACTGGTGCACTCTGTGAGGTGTAACATCATCTTCATCGTCATAACATTTTGCGTAAAGCGGCACGGCATTTGACACATAGTAGATGTTTGAATGCGTCTGAAAGGACTCAAAATACTAACGAAACTTCAAGTGTGCTTGACGTTTTTGATTCCCAATGGGATCTCAACATAAAACAACGATGGACTATGCAAAGGGGCTAAACAAGAAAGCAGAGAAAGTATTCGTCTACAAACTGCAGTAAAGAGTGAATGGAGATTGAGTGATCTCAAAGGCATATTTGCTTTTTGATTATAAAACTGACATTTTTCGACTAGACTTTTTCTGGCTTCACTTGGTTATACTGCCTTTATTTAAACAACACGGCAACGTTGCGATCCAGCACACGCAAAATTCGTGTTTTGACCATTCCTAGGCAGCTTCTTTCCATGAGGAAACGAGAGAGCACAGGGACAAGTGCGACGCAGACAAGGCACTCGCAGCGGAAAAAAGTTGCATGCACGCAACTCAAAACATAGTTTAACGACATATGCCCTTTGAGTGAAAAGAAATGTGCATTCGAGTTATTCAACAATCTCAACAGTGCTTCAGATTCTGTGCCCTTCTCTCTCCACTTCCTATTCATGTTCCAAATATCTAGCCTATTAAACATTCATAGGTGTACTATTCATAGGTGTCATTTGGAGCGAATATTTTCAAAAAAAAAACACAGTCACTTCACAACCAACCTTTTTCTCTAAATCGTAGTCGTACCAAATTCCATCCGTTTCATTCCAGTGAATTTCTTTCATCTCACGCTTTGCTAACTCATAACGTTGTTGATAGAAGGCCACTTTCTTGAAGTCCCCTGAAGCAGTGCTTAAATAGAAAAAGTTGCTCACAATATAGCAAGGAAATCACAGAAAACGGGCTTGCGATCAGCCTGTATATGAAGGCCCACGAACGACCCCTGCAGCTGGCAATGCAGTTTTCGTACTTGCGATGGCTTCTGGGAGGTCATGAGACGGGTTACTAGTTTTGTCGTAAGCCGCCCCCATTCGAATACACGTCTTGTACACCTTCACCCATCCCGCTGTACCCCTCCTATCATGGTGCTTTGGGTTATCTTGGAAATCTTGCTTATCTTGGTTCTCAAATTTTGGTTTCAAGCGTCGCCCACTCTGGACACCAAAAGAAAAGACCTTTTGATCTGACACAAAAACCACTCCACACATCTAGCTCTTTCATCATTCGCAGAGATTTTCTGCAGCAGACTTAGTGTTTGTCCTAAACACCGTCTAGCTTGAGCGGCTCCTTCACTGCGATGTGAGTCTTGCCAACTTTGACTCCCGCTTAATCCATACCATGACTTGCGCAGTCATGTCACTCTTCAGGGTACGCCGTGTTTCGTAGATGGCAAAAAAACCAAATGCCAAGCTATTTATAAAATCAATCGGAAATTACCTCTGATTTCAAATAGACTGGCCAAAATTCGAGCATTCACACACATGAACGCATTCAGATCGACTGGAACGATACTCCACGTCCTATAAAACTCAAATAAAATTCAAAACAACGTTACAAGCAATAAGAAAACTTCAGCTATTTGTTAACAGGTGATACGATAGATAAAATCGTTTTGCTTATCCGCGGGCAACCAAACGGAGTTGGCAACCCGGTATAGACCATCACCCATTCCCCCGTATCATTGGGCTCTTTTGGAGACATTAAATTTTTCTGTTGACGCCGCCCATTCTGGAGTAAGCCCCACCGTTGCGAGCGGGACTCCGTCTAGCTCATGAGGGCTTCGCATACCTTTTCTCAAGCCGTACCTATCCCAAACCTGACCTGGTCCTTCCAGGTTTCTCAAGAACACTGATTTGGTGATAGGCGAACATGGAGACAGGCTTAGCACTTCATGTATAAAGACATCGATAGTAATGGGAATGGATAAACTTGATTTCTGCTGGTGGCCCTCGAAACTTCCTCATATACTTATTTATTTGGTGGTTATTTGTTTATTTTTATTTATTTCTTTATTCATTGCAAGCTTAGGCGCACCATACATTTACACTGAACATCAATAAAATTAGTGAACGCGGAACATCAACTGAGGAAACATTCCACTATTATTCCTAGCAGCTTCCTATCCCATTACGCGTACTTCGCGCTTTACCTCCATGACCGTACTCGAGAGTTCCCGAGAGACTTGCAGAACACTCGTTTCGTATAAAATCTGATACTGTCACAGAAGTGGTTGGGTTCCCCGTGAGAGTCTCTCCCAACAACGAACAACAAACCTAATACTTCTCATTGCATGCTTGTCTTCACCATCTTGAGCAAACCATCTCGTCGAAAAATCCCAGCCTGTCTCGGCTGCCGATGCAATTTCCGACCACATACGCGTCTTCTCTTCTATATCTAAATGTTGACGGAAAGACACGAACAACAACGTACAGTCCATATCCCGCCACCTGATTGTCCGGATTTGACGTGGCAGTCGTGGACGTCTGGTATAAGTCGCGTGGGTAAGCTTCCAGCATGCTTTGATGATTTCAGCAAAGTAATTTGGAAGCAGCTTTCCCGCGTTGCGGCCGCCACCACGCCAAAGTAGACCCGCCTAATCAGACGACGAGATTTGGACTGTACACATTTTCTCCTTTTCTAGTCTAGAGAAAACAATTTCGAAAACAAGAACTGAGAACGTACCATCTCTTTTCAAGTGGTGAACCATTTCGTAATCTTCACGGTATGATTCTGGACGTGGGACTTTCAGCGTCGCTCTATATTGGTAATATGGGAATTTTTCTGTACCATTCTCGTCTTTGTAGATTCGAGATCTCTGTTTTATCCAAAACAGATATTCCTTCTCAAGTGTTGGTAGCACCTCCTGCAACGTGCAAGATACAAAGCGAGAAAACAAACGAAAACATGTTAGCAACTTGATCTTGCACTTTTCACTCAATATCTTTTCTATTTCTTTCTAGAAATGTCAACTGAAGAAGAAAAAGTTGAGAAAAAAGTCAGCAAATAATTTAAATTCGTGGATAGAAAATCTTTTACAAGAAATATAATATAAAAGTCAGAGGTTGCAGGTCAGTAAGGATATCGCAGTGCCGTTTCTCAAGTCGTGCACTCCAGCTATTGCTGAGCATGTGACTCGAAGTGCGAATAAACAAATATCAGAAGAAGGCGTTCGGCGGTCCTCGCAACCTCCAGTTTGGAACTATTGTCCCGATTCATGAGCTGGTTTACGCAGACTGACTTGTGGAGGTGGTCCATAAGGAAGAGTTTTCGTATCGTTAGAAGCAACAAGGACTAAAATTGTGATATGCATGCCAGGGTGAATATCGCTTGAGGATTCCTCAACGGCACGTCGAGGATTCTCTGCCCGATCAGAGACGATCTCTCGCGCGGACATTCACACTCGCCATGCCGTGCCGTCTGTGCTCTCCGCGCGGATGTTCACTCTCGGCACTACTCTCGCATGGTAGAGAGCTATGGTCGAGGATTTCCTCGACCGTTATTCACCCTGAATGCATGCTCTAGGCGCCGCGATTTTCTCTCCCACATAAGCAAACCTAGAAGAACATCTCGTAAACACCTCCAGAGCGAAAACTAGGTGAAGGGCTTGCAGACGAGCAAAAAACCCAATGCCATTTTTGGGGTGGTGGTTATCATGACAGAACGTGACGTGACGGATATCGCATGATCTGCGTATAACACACAATACCTGCACGTATTGAAATTCTGCATAAAAAGGTGCGAGCAACGTTGAAGGAAGTCAATAAAATTGCATAACAACACAATGCAACGAACCAGAACAAAATCTAAATCGCCGGTACCGAGAAAGTAGTCGTACACCATTGGTATTAAGAGCGGTGGCTGGGAACGTGTGAGATAATACACACGGCCACCATTTGGCACAAACCCATTCGTATAAAAAATTTCACTTTTAATCCCCCCCCTGTGTTGAGATATTATCACTAAATAGAAACGTTTCACTTACTTATCGACCATAAACGCAAGATTTTTAATGATTCCTCTCGCTGTTTCGTACATTTCAGAGAAAATGAGACCTTTCAATATCCAAAACGAATCCCTAAAAATGAACTTTTAATTAAGATGATCATCTTTTGATCCGTATTTATTGCAGACTTGAAAGAACTTAATAGGAGACAAATTTGGTAATCACGAAAACCTTACCAATAATAGAATTCCCTGAACCGACCACCTGGTATAATGAAAGGATGAGGTACATATAGAAGAGAATAGTGATCTTGATGTCTACGAACATCATCGCGTACCTTAAAAGAATTACTTAAGCTCATACCAAATAAAAACACTCTCACAAATTGCAGCAGAAAGTTTCTCAGAATTACTGGCCTCAAGAAAAAATTGCAAATTACCACAACTTTCGAATAATCACAAGCTTATAGATACACTATGACTTTCACCAATAACAAAATATAATAACAATAGGACCATTTTCAATGTTTGAAGAATAACCAAGAACTATGATAGGCATCCCAACCCAACATTTACGACTGAAACAGGTCAAGGGCTGAGGTGCAAATACTACCAGGGTCCCTAAACTGAAAATACGACCCATGAAACTCAAGCATGGTGGATCAAAAGGAGAACAGCTAGCTTTCATAACTTTCTCAGTCACAAAAAAGCAGCTCCCTCCTCCCACTATCCTTTATAACCCGAGCGACAATCTCCATTTTTGATCGTAAATTCAACTAAATAATCGCGCAGAACGACGAAGCATGCGATCCTGCCGCGTCTAACTCAATTACATGGATCGGCGTCTGTGTCGGAGAAGAAAAAAATGAAGGGAAAGAGGAGCATCTGTCGTCAGCCAGGCCCCGTAAGGCTTTCAAGTACGACTGCTGTTTGAAACCATTTAAGTTCACATTGGGAATAAGGCTATTAAATGGCTCACCCGTCTACATAAATCTCTCCAAATTCGATGTAAATGATGGAGGCTGCCCATGCTTCGGTGGTGGTAGTCCGTGTATATTCAAAAAAGTTGAAGGAAAGTCGACCCAATCACGAGGAAACCATTCCACGAGTTCCGATCCCGGAGGATTAAAATGAGAATTGACAAATTCTCTAAGTACAGCAATATCCTTCGCTTTATCGCCAAGTTCGTCGAAGTTCCTCAATGTCGCAACTGAAGAATGAGGAGGACGTTATTTTTAATGTGTTCCAACCAATTAAGGGACTGCATATGTGCCAATATCCCGGAACGCCTGACTAATTCAGTTTTGATAACAAAAACATAAGGAATCTTGGTAAAGCTAGCCCGAAGCTGAGGCTAATCTATAATATTTCCAGCGAACCACGACAATTCAAATGATATTAAGTACGGGAATATGCTTCTGACTCTTTGATGGCGCGTAGTTTAGTATTTCAATTGATTGACCTCCAAAAACCCGCAAACCCTGAGGTTAGCTCAAATTTACCTAACATGAGGAGCGCTGTTTCACCTATGAACTTTATAGATTAAGGAACAAGCAGTCAATGCACTATTGTTCTTCCACCACTCAACAACCACCCTTTCACATTTCAAAACGACCCTCCGCAATGAAGAGTTACAGCACGTGTCACTCATAAAAGCTATCAAAACGACTAGAGAAATCAAAATGCAATAAAATTATGCATTTGCCATAAATTGGATGCTTATCGGTCGATTCTTCACTTTTTTGTTCTCCTTGGTGCACCAATGATTCAGCGAGACTACAAAGGTTCAGATCGCACTTATTGAGTGATTTTGCATAAAACCACTTTCTGAATTCACTACATGCTCAGTCTATGCTTTTAATGACTCATGAAACCCAACATTAGAGAAAAATTCCCTGTACGTACTACCTTTTTCGACCACTATCGTTAATTCACTAACACCCATTATGGCCAAATTTCCAAATTTTCCAGTTTCGCATAATTGAGTTGTATCTACTGGCTGAAAGCAGGTCTGCATTGAAGGTAGTTGTTACCACGAACGATGCGGTTTTATAGGACTTGAGGCATTTGAAAAATTCGAGTTTGTCGAAAAATCGCAAAAAAAAACTACCATCAAAACCCTGTCGGGCCCAGAAGTATCAGTTCTTACTGTTAAAATGTAACAGTAATCATCGTATCTTTTGTCACTTTCAGTCCTTACTAGCCAATACATTATTTCGATCCAATCTCATATTAGTTTTGCAATACATATTATCACCTCTCTTATCTACCATGGCAACCAGCTTGGAAGCCTCGCCGCTCACCTTGCTTTTCTTGTTCTCTCGAGCAGGCACTCCATCTTTTCGAACAACGGGCGCAAAAGAAAAAAACCAAAAAGATTGCACTCTTAGTTTGTTTACACTACACTTCATTAACTGAGAAGACTGCACAATCAGCACTGGCACCTCGCTACATCAGCCTCACCTCTTGCGATGACACCACGATGACGACGATGACAACTACAGGACACCCCAAGAACTAATTTGCACAATTGAACTCTAACTGCTAATCAATTACCTCACTAGTCTATGACCTTAGCCAGCGCCTACCTTCCCTAACTCGTTTAAGTTCACGTAGCTGTCCTCTGTTGATACCCATTTTACTTCTAACACACCAAACATTCGTAACCATTTCAAATGTGGTACGCGCCAAACATGTGAGGTGACCGAAACAGCCCCTCCAAAAATTAAAATCAAATGAATATTATAAGTACAATATTTCCATCCAATCAATATTTCCACCCCATATATCCATGCTTATATGCCAGTCTTATGATTAATGTTCAAATAACGAAAACAATCTGAATCCGATAACTGTACATCGCCTACGCATCGCTAGCGCCTGCGATCTCACGTCTGGCGGGGGCGTGCCCATACTGTATAAGCAAGAACAGATACTACAATCATATATACCTTCTCTTGCAGCCATACAATAAAGGCGTTCAACTCTTCTCTCTGTACATAGTTTTCCTCCTCACATTAAATCCACTGAACCACCGCGAGGTGATAATAAAAGGGTCCAACATAACCCTAGGTCTCTAGTCACCCGCAACAAACAGGTTGGTGACCCGATGTGGGATGGCAGTTCGAAAAGGAAAAGCAATCGAAATTGAACCAACTTATCGAAATAATATAGCGAAATAAGGAATAGAATGAAGCTTCCGCGCAGATCAATCTATCTGGAGTGGAACACGCCCTTGAAATCCACTCCATCCAATTGTAGAATTTGGAGTGGATTTCGAGGCCGTATTTGGAGTTGATATTATGGCTGTACATTGACTGGTCCCATATGAGAACTCACTCGAGCCAGTAGCTCGAGCTTGTACCAGCCTCTATCCTCCCAGACACACGTGCTACCAGTTACCGACTCAAAAGGGAAGAAAGCTTGCTTGGCTTCGATGATACAACCCAAGAAGGGGGTCCCTGATAGAGCGAGTGAAAGTTGGTGCTACTCGCCACTAAACCAATCCCACCCTTACAATGCAGGAAATCGCTCAATGTTATTTCAGAGCTGAAACAAATTAAAAAGGATAATCAGAGCTTTTTTAGACAGTAGCTGTCCAACCACAGATCGAAAACAGCGGAAATTTCGTCGAAGTTCGGGTATTATCCAGCCAGAGGCAACAAGAGAAACCCAGATAAAATGAATAGGGAGTTGTTGAGGCCTATAGAATTATGAGGCAGTGCTACGTGCGAGAGGAAAACTATCGTGACAGTGTGAAGCATCAATCCCTGCTAATCGACACATTAGAAGCCCACGTAGCAATCCCTTCCTCATTCTGTGCTGCTTCGCACGTTTTCGATACCTTCGCTGCTACAGGAGAACAACGGTGTGCGGTAAGATGGCACATTGTTATTTGACAGCCTGTTCATGATTTTGTGTGTAATTATGCTATAGCTTTCCGGTTTGATCGAGAACGGCGAAAAGGGCTTACGCGAAACTTTATCAGCAAAGTTTTGTGGAGTCTTTGATATACATCCACCCTGATTGAATAGTGTAAGCTGTCGAGCGGGAGTACCATTTAACGGTAAAATTCATGCTATATAAAGGAGAGCCCAAAAGACCGTCTACGCGCATCCTCAGACTTTGGATCGCAGGGCAATGGGCTAGACAGGATTATCCGGCAAATCTTTCCTCAAATTCTTGTGGGAAGTAGAAGCAAACCCTCGTCCTACGTCCTCACCATCATCCAGTTGAAGCATCCGTCATCGCCGACGAAATCAATAAAGCCTATCAAATTGACTAAGTCTGGAACAGCTGCGCAACTTTCGCGGCCAACTCATTAGCGGACGGCTTCCTAGAGAGCGTGAATTTGATTGTCTAAGATCATTGTCATTCCGCAGTTTCAGTAACATCGCTAAAACCCACGATCAACGTACGGCCGTTTCGAAGGTCACCTAAGTAGAGTTGACCACTGTTGTGCGATAAACTTCTCAAGTAAAAAAGGGGTCATGTTGTGGAGTCAGGGGAACGATCAAGAGCGCAGAGACCAGTGAGAAGGGCCGTTTCTTTAAAAGTTCATCCGTGCCTAGGACTCTATTATGGTGGAGCTAGAAAGATGTGTAGACAAATCAACGGTTTCATGATTTTTTCCTCATGGCTGAGCATTGCATCTTGTTCCCAGGGATCGTCTACCGGGAATAATCTCCGTGAACAGGTTCACGAAGTTCCGCAATCGATAGACTGCTCTGCTAAATATTCTGGATGGGATCGGTTTAAGAGTCACAAAATGTGAATTGATCATAGTTGTAAGAGAGAAAGGGGACTTTTTCGCCATGGATTCCTTTTTATGCCCATAGCGGATGGAGGAGCGTGAGGCTCTGGCTTTTCACGAGCCACTGAATTCGCGCTAGACGCCTTTCTCTTCTCATTAGCTATTCCAAACTTGTCAAATGGAGCAATGACTACTCATAGAATTATTCATGACTTCGCGTCGAAATCAAGGTTTGATCAATTCGCGATTGAGGTCGGCTGCCGCAGAAGGGGAACCAAACCTAAGAAAGGCAGCCGGGTCCAATAAGAATGCGGAACAACGCGCACTCGCAGCGAAAGATACGCCCTCAGTAGACAGCAGGGCCGAACACTCACCGCTGCTCCCCAGCACGGTGACCTCTCACCATCAAGTCTCTAGCCGTAGACAGCAGGGACGGCAGAGGTAGCGACTCACTATGGGTTTTGTTTGCGCCAAAAGACTCGCTCTACTCGGGAGATAAATTGGCTAGGGGGTAGCGATTTCCATTCCGTATGTACGCCGAACGGTGTTGCCCTTCATATCACTACTGACCTCCTTATTTTTCAATAAGCTGTCTTCTCATCGTAAATTCCGCTTTAGAAGGCCATATCTTTCAAGACACAAGGGAAGATGTTAGTAAGAGCTGTAGAGTTCTATGATTTCCTCAGAAAAAGAGTACATGTGACCATTGTGCATTCACTATTGATGCATCAGCGACTGATTCGATGGACTTTTTACACGTTCGGCCGTCTCATCGACACATTCCACTGTCAATCACTTTGACGAAAATTTCATGCATGACCAAATCACAGTTCACTTCCCTATTAAGGCATTTATGTTGCGATGGCTTTCTCAGAATGGAATACAATTAATAATACTACTTTTGAAAGAAGTTGTCCCCCTCCACTTGTGTCATCACTCTGTGCCAAAATTTAAGAATAACGGCTTGTTTACTGTGAAAGAAGCGATACGGTGAAAACAAGTGATCCCTCAAAACCAACCAACTAATAAATTTAGAACTGGATTTCTCCATCACGAATCCCTAAAATAGGTAAGAACTTATAGATTAGATGATATCCTGTACGCCCTAAGCAAAGCAATTCAGTCCGTCAACCGAAACGAAAACCTGCTTGCTTTTTCGTTGCCCGTCCGACATTCATCAAATTCTACTGAACAACATAGTCCATTCCCCATCCCATGACATCATTAGCAATCTTCGAAGGAAATTTCCAGTTGTTTTTGAGCCCTTTTAAGGGGCCCACAAACCACGTGCAATATGCACGTTAGACTTTGTTCGTTACGTCGGTAAAAACGGTAAAAACGCTCCATGCAGCAGTTAAGGCCGACCAAGAAAATTACTTGGAACTTTGATCATAAGTGGTGGTTCCGAAGAAGAATTTACTGATTCAATGACCATAGGATTGGACTGAGTCGAAA